AGCCCCGCGGGGGCCAAAACAGCCGCACCGGCTGGGACTGCGACGCTGGCGACCCCTCTGCCTGGGTATCTCCTGGTCTGTGGGCAATAAGAGTTCAGTCTGGAAATGCGGCGTCCACTCACCCTCTGCACTTTCACTGGGAGCTGAAGTCCTGAGCTGTTCTTAGGCGGCCATCTTGAAAGTCGGCGTCTCCTGATTTTTTAATGATCGCCATTCTCACTTACGTGAGAGTGTATCTCAGTGCGGTTTTGATTTGCATTTCTCTAATGACCAGTGATGACGAACTTTTTTCCTTATGTTTGTTGGCTGCATAAATGTCTTTTTGAAAAGTGTTCATATCCTTTGCCCGCATTGTAATAGGGTTATTTTTTCTTATAAATTTGTTAAGGTTCTTTGAGGATTCTGATTATTAGCCCTTTGTCAGATAGGTAGATAGACTGCAAATTTTTTTTCCCATTCTGTTGGTTGCCAGTTCACTGTAATGACAGTTTCTTTTGCTGTGCAGAAGCTCTTAAGTTTAATTGGATCCCATTTGCCTATTTTGGCTTTTGTTGTCATTGCTTTAGGTGTTTTAGTTATGAAATCCTTGCCCATATCAATGTCCTGAATGGTATTGCCTGGGTTTTCTTCTAGGCTTTTTATGGTATTAGGTCTTATGTGTAAATCTTTAATCAATCTGGAGTTAATTTTTACATAAGGTGTAAGGAAGGGATCCAGTTTCAGCTTTCTGCACATGGCTAGCCAGTTTTCCCAACACCATTTATTAAATAGGGAATCCTTTCCCTATTGCTTGTTTTCATCAAGTTTGTCAAAGATCAGATGGCTGTAGATGTGTGGTATTGTCTCCGAGGCCTCTATTCTGTTCCATTGACCTAGTTATCTGTTTTGGCACCAGTACTATGCTGTTTTATTACTGTAACCTTGTAGTATAGTTTGAAGTCAGGTAGCGTGATGCCTCCAGCTTTGTTTTTATTTTTTCTTAGGATTGTCTTGGCTATGCGGGCTCTTTTTTGGTTCCATATGAAGTTTAAGGTGTTTTTTTCCAATTCTGTAAAGAAAGTCAATGGTGGCTTGATGAGGATAGCACTGAATCTATAAGTTAATTTGAGCAGTAGGGCCATTTTCATGGTATCAATTCTTCCTAACCATGAGCATGAAATGTTTTTCGATCTATTTGTGTCCTCTCTTATTTCTTTGAGCAGTGGTTGAAGAAGTCCTTCACATCCCTTGTTAGTTGTATTCCTAGGTATTTTATTCTCTTTGTAGCAATTGTGAATGGGAGTTCACTCATGATTTGGCTCTCTGTCTGTTACTGGTATATAGGAATGCCTGTGATTTTTGCACATTGATTTTGTATCCTGATAATCTGCTGAAATTACTTATCATCTTAAGGAGATTTTGGGCTGAGATGATGGAGTCGTCTAAATATACAATCATGTCATCTGCAAATACAGACAATTTGACTTCCTCTTTTCCTAACTGAATATCCTTTAATTCTTTTTCTTGCCTGACTGACCTGGTCAGAACTTCCAATACTATGTTGAATAGGAGTGGTGACAGAGGGCAGCATCCTTGTCTTGTGCCAGTTTTCTAAGGGAATGCTTCCAGTTTTTGCCCACCCTGTACTCTTTAAAATAAATGTCACAGCCATGAAAGACAAGAAAAAATTTCAAGAACTGTTCCAGATTAAAGGAGACCAAGAAACATGACAATTAAATTCAACACATAATCCTGAATAGAGGACATTATTGTGATAATCACCAGAACTGTAATGGGGTCTGTCAATTAGATGGTAATACTCAATCAATGTTATAATAATTTCTTCATTTTAATATTCATACTATAGTTACATAGGAGAGTATCCAGTTGTTTTGAGAAAATACACATAGAACTTTTAAAGATAATGGGTCATCATGTCTTCAACTTTTTTCAAATGGTTCAGAAATATGAATGGAACCTAGGTAATCTGTGGAAGGAAGTATGGAAGCTCTGTATACTATTTCTGTAACTTCTATGAAAATTTAAAATTATTTCAAAATAAAATTTCTAAAGCTGCTTCAAAGTATTCTGTTACTTCAGGTAGACAGTAATTTATTAGTTAATGGTTTTTTAATCTGATTGTTCAATCAGTTCCAAATTCACCTCTAAATCCCAATGCTCTACTCTATCTGTAAGGAGTCATTACATCTATTTTAAAATATGTACTTCTTCCCCTTTACATATGCCAGAAGCTACATGAGGCCCCAAGGAAAAGGAAGGGTGATAACAAAAGAGAAAGAACTCTGTTCTTTTCATTGGTTAACCTTACAATTTATTAGACTAGGGAATGAATACATTAAAGACTACCAACATTCTCTGTTAAATATAGTTATTCTATAGAAATTAACTTGCACCACGTCTACAATCATATAGCCTTATTGTAAAAATAAAGTTAGAGTCATCTCTCAGTATCTGAGAGGAACTGACTCCAGAACACTGGCCCCCTCTCATATCAAAATTTTGAGATGTTCAAGCCCCTTGACATACTCTGCCTAAATGTTATGGTATTTGCATATAACCTACACAATCTGAAATAATTTAAATCATCTCTAGATTACTTATCATACATAATACAATAAAAATGTTGTGCTAATATTTGTTATACTGTTTTTAAAATTTTTTTTTATCGCTGTACTGGTATTTATTTTCTAATATTTTAAATCCATAGTTGGTTGAATCTACCAATGCAAGAACCCACAGAGAGCCAACGGTACTTTGAAATGACTTCTTTCTTAAAAGTTATATAGTGTCTTCTTTTCTCTTGTTTTTTTTTTGTTTGTTTGTTTTTTGTTTTTTTTTTTTTTAAGAGATGAAGTCTTGCCATGTCACTCAGGAAGAAGTGTAGTGGCTGTTCACAGGTGCAGTCATAGCACTCTATACCCTCAAACTTCTGGGCTCAAGCAATCCTACTGCCTCAGCTTCCCATGTAGCAGGGACTACAGGAACATGTCACTGTGCCCAGTGCTGTTCTCTTAATCACCATTTTCTATGCACTAACTCAATACTCCTCGCTCAACAGTCCTTTTGAATTTATTAGATCCAGACCAGAGTTACTACAAGTTTCCTTAGCAATGAATCAGCAACTAACCATCTTTGTATTGTACCTACCATTGCTCTGTCATCTCAAAGATTACTGCTATTCTTTACCACTCTGAAATTCTTTAAACTCATTTAAAAAATCTAATTCCAATAGGCTTCTAATGCTCCATCAGATCATTCTTCTTGATAAAGAATATCTAAACCAAACAAGACCTCAGTAGTTCTGCCTTTCTTTATGAAGTTCTTATTTAAAAAAAAAAAAATTTAAATCCTTTTTGTGTTGATCTTGGCATGCTCCAAAAGAGCATCATTCTTCATATGTAGCTTACCCTTGATAATATGTCCTTCCTTCTAATGCCCATTTAGCCACTGAGCCAAGAGAACTATCTAACTAGTAAAACCGAGTATTTTGTTTGTTTGTTTTTTGTTTTTTTAAGACAACTCTTTCCTTCCCATTGAGATCATTAGAGAGGTTTTCTTTTGGTCTAAATATCTTTTAGATGTTATTGTTTGCTCTGTAAGTCTCTCATTCTGAAAGTCACAATCACATTTATAGTCTCTGGTTAGGAATCATACATATCTTTGTTCTGGCCAAATCTACTTTCTTGAAGTCAACAGAATGTATCTGTTAAGTCCCAGCACTCTCCTTACTTCCTCTTCCACTAGCTATTAATTACTATTCACAATTCAGAGCAGAAAATCTGCTTCCAGCAACCACTCAGACATCTGAAGTCCCCAATCAGTGTTATATTTTTATCTCTGCAGATTTTATAAACTGAATTAGCTAGGTGTATCTTCCAAACTGTCCTGCAGGTCCATTATATACTACCAGAACAATGACTTCTTTTCATTTAAGTTTTATTACTCCTCAAATCACTCTACTATTGTAGACAACCCTCAGGGTTGCACATTTTTATAAATACTATGTTCTTTCTTTTCCTTGTCCCCTTTGAAAGGGCCATTTCTTTCTAATAAAGTATGCGATCTGTTGCTAATATTCCAAACACAAAATCCAACTAATTTTATGGATCACATTTAGAGTTCACAATCTGTGTTCTTTCAGAACTCTTCTACCTTTATACAACTTAAAAAAAATTAATGTGACAAGGTAATATTTAGAGAGCAACTGAGAGGTAATAGAACCAAAAATCACAGTATCTAAAATTACTGAAAAGAACTTCTTTTTTGTTATTTGGCTTTTTTAAAACTCAAGAAGGCCTTATGGAAAATAATAAGATTCATAATAAATATTGTATACCAATTATGAAAAAATTAGAAGTTTATTCTGAGTAAATTATCTTAAAATTATGTGATCTCCTCCAACATGTAGTGAAATCATCCACCGAAAGGTAAAATTTTTAAAAAAAGTACAGGTATAAGCCAAAATACAAAGTAACTAATCATGGGTACTCTGACATATGCCTGTAGAAACCAATGCCAGAAAACAAAGCCTCCTGCAAAGTCTTAAAAAAACACAGGGATAGTACAAAACCTGGAAAACTAGTGACACTCATTATTGAATACAAAGCCTAGTCATTATGACTATTACACTAGCTTTTAAAACTAAAGGTGGTTCAGCCAGATATTGATTGGTTCAGCCATATATTGATAACCCAGTCAATAATTTCGTAACAAATGCCAGAGTGATTTGCAGAAGTTTCCTGTAATTGTTTTTACTTTTTGCTTTGCTAAAATGAGAATATGGCATGCAAAAATTTTTGAATTATAAGTTGCTTAAACATAAAATAACATTTTTCTAGTAAACTGTCTTAAAAGGAAAACTGTCATTATGTTGAATCAATTTTATAGGGCAATCAGTTAATTTAAGTAAACACAGTAACTATCAATAGTCCTGTTTATTGTGAGTAGAGACTTTCCCATTTACCATTTCTCTCCCCAGGACAAATTAAAGTAGTTCTTACCTAATTCATAGAGATGCCCATCTACATGAACTAACGCAATAAAATGAAGATCTACTTTTTCATCTATACTTGGTGCCTGGAATAGGAGGGAAAAAATATGTATTATATACATTAGTAGGCAAACAAATTAGTCATGTATATATAAACACACACAAATGACATCAAATGATATAAAAGAACATTTATCCAATATAATTCAAGGCTTAATGTGTGATATAATGGACAAAGAGTGACCACTCCTATGTCTGTGACAGTGTGCTCATTCATCAGCAAACAAACAGTGACTAAAAGCACAACTTTCTTAATCTCTACTATCTAAAAACCAAAAATTGTGTTCACCTTAGAAGCCTCAGCACTCAGCACAATGCCTGGTATATAGAATATGCACAATGCATACTTATTGACTGAAATGAATACATAAACTGATTTGTATGCTTTTTAAAATTTGAAATAAGAAAGTTAAAATTTTTTATACATAACGTCTTTTTTTTTTTTTTTTTTTTTGAGACGGAGTTTTACTCGTTACCCAGGCTGGAATGCAATGGCACGATCTCAGCTCACCGCAACCTCGGCCTCCTGAGTTCAAGCAATTCTCCTGCCTCAGCCTCCCAAGTAGCTGGGACTACAGGCGAATGCCACCATGCCCAGCTAATTTTTGTATTTTTAGTAGAGACGGGGTTTCACCATGTTGACCAGGATGGTCTCGATCTCTTGACCTCGTGATCCACCTGCCTCAGCCTCCCAAAGTGCTGGGATTACAGGCGTTGAGCCACCGTGCCCGGCCCATAACATCTTAAAGAAACTCTTTTCCAGTTAAATTTTAAGACATCAAAAGAGCTGTTCCCTTAATGATCTGAACTTGATAATCTTATGTTATGAACAGTGCAGTGCGAACAGTCTTTGAGTAAAATAAGCATTTTAACTAACTGAATTTTAAAAGTTTCAAAATGAATATATGCAGGAAAATGGCCTCAATGATTAAAAGGGAAAAAAGATAAGAACAAATTAAAGTACAATTCACAGTAGCCTATGCTTTTTCTCTTACTTTGACAGTTAATAAATAATTTGAAATTAAAACTACATATACATTTCTTTAGCATACCAATCAGTTTGCATGAGCAGTATCGACATTTCTAAGACATTCAGATAACATATGCAAAGTCAATACACTGATTAACTGGCACTTTCTATGATATATAGTAACTAGACAGTTAATATTAATAAGTGTTAGCTATACATCAAATCTAAATGGTTGGAAATGAAATACAGTAACTGTTACAAATGCAAGTAGAATACAAATTTTAAAGGAAAAGTTTTCAAGAGGCATAAATCAAATTATATCTCAGATTACTTAATATCCTTTCAGTAACAGATAGTTTCTTAACTAAAAAAATTACATTCTTTTCATCAAGTAACTATATATTTTCAAGCAGTTGTAATATGAAGTTTTATGATGCAGATATTGAAAAGTATAGAATAAACATTACTATCTTGGATTTACATAATGTTTCTAAAACATTTATATATACAGTGTCTCACCTAATCTCACATTATTCTTCAGAGATCACTGCCCTCAAATTATGAATGGAAGAAATTCAATATAAACCGATGTAGCAAGCCAGCTCTTTTTAACTTCACTCTAGAACTACAGAATGCCACAAGTGGTAGCAATCAGGGTTATCGACTGTTGCTCCGATACTGGACTTTTCTCTACCACAGCCCCATCTTGTGGTAGCCCCTCTAATGCCAGAGGCTCCTCCACTAGGTTTTGAGGCAGTCCATTCCATTGTTTTGTTAGAATTTTCCCTCATACTGAGGCTAAGATATGTCTCTTTGTATTTTCCAGCATCTTAGAAAAAAAATCTAATCTCTCCTGAACATATTTCTTCAAATATGTGAAGACAGAGTGATAAAGAGTTTCCCTTACTTTCCAGGGAATAAAAAAGTTTAGTGGCCACTCAATCTAATATCTCCATTTTATATTAGAATCAAATTTTTCAAGGCTAAACCTAGGTAATTATATAAACTATAATTTCAATTCTATAATAAAAAGGCTGTAATGAATTATTTATTCAACTAGGAAAGAGTCTTGTTTTACTCATTTTAAGACAACTTTCCAATAGGATATGAAGTAATTCTAAATGTTTTGAACTTTACGCTTTTATAAACTATTAGCTACCTTAGCACCATCTCTTCTTAAGAATTACACATCGAATAACTCATTTTTTTCATGTTGTGCCAGTAAACACAACCATGCTAGAGGTAAAAGTCATACAACTGGAGTCACAGAACTGAATATGGACCCAATCCCTGTAAGCCTTTCTTATCAATCTCGGGGTTTAAATGAGTTGCATGAAAGTACTTTGCAAACTGTTAAGAATTATATAAGCCTTATATATACTCCAATAATACTACATTATCACCAATGTAAGCAATTACCAAATGTGCATCATTTTACCTTTAATCTAAAAGTGTATACTAAAAATACAAAACTCTAAAGAGAGTATGAAAAGCCTTCGAACTATTATAAAAGATAAGCAAAGCTCAAAACTTCTAAGCCTTCCACAAAACCTCAGTACCTGTGATAAGCTTTTTCTTTGGTCAGCTGCAATGAGTCTCAGAGTCTAAAAATCTGTAATTACTTAATTTGTAATAGTTTTCTTCATATACATATATATGAAGAAAATATGTAATATATATCTCCCAAATTTATATACATATATCCCTCCTGAACATAGGGAGATATGTATATATGCGTGTGTGTGTGTGCGTGTGTGTGTGTGTGTATATATATATATTTTTTTAATATATAATTAGGGAGATACATTTTATGTGTATATATATATATATATACTACACACACACACACACACACACACACACATATATATATATATATATATAAAAAATTCAGAATGCTACACTTCTTAGTTAACCCAAAGGATTAAATTCATAGAATTTTAACTCACGGAATGAGTTAAATACAAAGTTTAACTCAAAGAATTAAAAAGTGCTAAAAAAAATCAATTAGATATAAATTAATCAAATACTAAATATAAACTTCCATTAAAATATACATTAAATTTAATGTATAATTGTATAGCACTTAATATATATACCAGGTACTGTTCTAAATGTTTTATATATATCAAATAATTAATCATCATACTGGTTGAACATCCAAATCCAAAAATCTGAAATCTGAAATGCTCTAAAATCCCAAACTTTCTGAGTACTAACAGGATATTCAAAGGAAATGCTGACTGGAGCATTATGGATTTCAATTTTTCTGGCTTGATATACTCAACCAGGTAAGTACAATATAAATAATCCAACCAAATTGCAAAACACTTTTCATCCCAAGCATTTTGGATAAGAGATACTCAACCTATATGTAAACCCAATCAGGTATATAATATGATTATACCCATCTTACTCTCAAGAAAACTCTTCTGTAAGCATTATGAAACATGCTCTAGGTCATGCAGCTAGTAAGTGATGGAATCTGGATTCAAACCTAGGCAGTATACGTCTAGAATCCATGTTCTTAACTACTATACTATAAAAATATTTAAAGCTACAAGGAAATGGAATTAATATGGAGCTAAGATCAACATTATATGAAAGCATATAAAACAGGAAATGACAAATTTTATATGTTCATTTATATTTGGAACATTTTTAAGTAGAAAAGAAATAATTCATATTAGAATTGGATCAATTGTGCTCATGTCAGAATTTACACCTTTAGGAGTCTACCCTGGTCATCTAATTCACTTTGTATCTCTCATTGTGCCAAACAGTATATGGCACAGTAGAGAAGCAACAAATATCAAATGGATGAATGATTAAAAATGAAGAATGCCATGACCCAATGAGGACAATGAAATAGAAAGAGAGACACCAGTTTGTTGATACTTGGCACAAATGAAAAGGCATTTGATGACTATACTGATATTTGGAGGAAGCAAATATTTAAGGAACGATTCCACTTCACAGTTTGAGTACAGCACTAGAAGGGTAAATAAGGGGAAGAAAAGAATCCTTGGCATTGACTTTTAATTGTTCTTAAGCATTAAATGTACATATAATCGGACTTCCTCCTCTGGCTTCAAAAGCCACAATGATTTACAGAAATGTCAAGTTTCTTACAAATGTATGGCACACACCAAAGCTTTTAGATATTGCATTTCTAGGGAGGCTCTGCCAAACCACAGTCATTGCCTTTAATAGTCTAAAACATCAGAAAGACAAGAGCTGTAGTTGCTTAATTCTGTACTGTATCTCAATTATGAGAATTACTAGACTGCCATCATGGGCCTCAATATTTAAGATAATTAGCAAGATTGTAAGAAAATTGCATTTTTAATAGTTTACAGATATCGTTAGGCTATAAAAGAGAAATCATAAATTTGTGGGAAACCTACATCAATACACATGGAGGAAATCTTCATTTCCTATTTGAAAAAGATCTTTAGAAACTGAATAGGCAGGAAAGATCAGATCAAGATTAAACCAAGTACCTGAGCCACCTCAGGGAATAAAACAATAGCTTAGATGAAACACCCTACACCATGAAGGATTTAGATTGAGGATAGAGTAAGTAAAGTAACCCCAGAGCATGGCAAGAGACTAAAGTCATGCTCAGAAACATTAAAAATAATAAAGTAATAGATGGAAAAGAACTCAGAAAGTATGCAACATTTGTTGACCTAAGTCAACTAAATGAATTCAGTAAGCTGAGGCGTAAGAGAACACATACTCAGTTTAACAATTAACAAGACTTAAACATTATCATGAATGTGGATCAGTACTCATCAAAAGGCAAGTGCCGTTATGTTGGCAGGATATGGAGTGGAAAGATGGATGTTCCGAGGCACTGGCGAAAGTCAAGCTAGACTGCAAAGCATAGAGGTATGCTTGCAATCTTATTGGGGGAGAGAAAGCTAATGGTTGAGTGAACCAAGAGAAAAGCACTCTGAAGACTGAAGTTGTTTGAGAGAGAGAGAGAGAAAAAAAAAAAATGAATAGCCCTTGTCACTGGAAGAAGACATGGAAGATTGACTAAACTTACAACAGAATGGAGACCCAAAGATGGTAGGCGTAAGAAGGGTCGCCAGCGACGCAGACGGAGAGATGGACTGGTAGCCTTTGCAGGGCCTACATGGTTACGTTTGACCCAGGGCAGGGATGCATGGTGACACAATGATGAGGCCTTCGTTCTGCAGTGGCTAGAATGAGGCTGTGATGAGGATGGCGAGGAGGACTACATAATTAAAAAAGAGAATATTTTACTTAGACCACGTTACTGGGTGATCATTTGTTTTTAAAAGCAACGTATGGTCATGCTTGTAATTCACATGGTCTACTATTTTTAATAACCATAATCTAGCGAAGAATCATATGTGAATATTGGTTCAAAGCCAGTAAAGTGGAAATATATAACCAAGTATCAGGTTATATGCCATACTTCTATAAGTGTACATTAAAAATATTCACATATCCTCATTTGCATAGCACAGACCCTTGGAAATTAATACTTAAAAGCCACTAAAATTATTACATCAAAATGTTTTTAAAAACTAATACACACACACACACAAAACCCATGTAACACATATAAAATGCACAAAGAATAATGGGTAAAAGAAAGCTGTATAGTGATAGGCATTGGGAAAAAGAATTCCCTAAAAGTAATAAGCTCCAAGGAGGAAAACAAAACAAAACAAAACTATAAACAAGAATAAAATTAATCCCTCCAAAGATGACAATCTGAATAAACTATCCTCCTACTTCGGCTGACAAATTACATGGAAAATATCACGGCCTCTTAACTATCTTTTAGGGAACAATGTCATTAATTAAAATATGCATCTTTTTTATGCCAGGTGCTTTTTAAGGATTTGACATATATCGGTTAATTGAACCTCCAGTAACTCACAGGCACCACTATTCCTGTTATACAAATGAGGAATCAGAGCACAAATGGGTAAAGTAACATAAACAAAGTCACACTGCCAGCAGGTAACAGAACTGGGATTCAAATCCAGAAGATCAGATTCTAGAGTCCAATGATCTTAATCACTATGGTGTATAGTCAAAGTGATCAAGAAAAATATGTTAATGCAAACATGGGCCAGATACTGATAAGGAGAGGAGTAATTCTGGTAAGATTAGGTATTTGGGGAATCACCTTTTCAAACACTATTGTACCACAAAAAGCAAATCTAGCCAAGAGTTTTCTATGAAGTACACAAGGATACGATAACATAATAGTAGTAATCCAAATGACTTCATAATTGTCGCATTCAATTAATAACACCAGTATATAAAATAAAAAAATTAATTTGAGGGAGTATGACAAAATTACAATCACTATAATCAAAGTGAGAAGAAATAAAAAGAATGGTAATATAAATCCTTGCTCAGAGATAAAGATTTTTGCTAACTATAAGAACCATAATAGATTTCTCTTTAGGAAAATGAGGAGTTTTACTTTCCAAATGATTTCTAAAACTCTTTTCAACTCTGAAAATTCTCTAATCTTGCTTAGTACCTTCAATCTAAAGAAACAATATACAAACCTTAAAAAAAAGCTTTCATTTTTATGGGGGGGGGGGTAAAAAACATGTTCAAACATTTTAGCTGCTAACAATAAGAATCAATCAAAAACACATAAATGAATTCCATACTTGGTTCTATATGGGAACAAAAGTTTATATGATAGTATCTGCTCTCACAGACATAGTTTAATCAGAAATTCATCACATTCAGTCTGATTATATTCATATAACAGGAAAGAAAGAAGGAGAGAACAGGGGTAGAAAGGGGAAACAAATAAAAGGGAAACAAATTGTGTAAAAGAAGAGACAGAAGGAAAGGTGACTAGTAAATATTGGAGGGAAAAAATTTCTAACAATCTAGAAAAGGAAATATTACTAAACCAGAGTTGTACACTGACAAGAATGTATAAGGTTGGAATGGGTGAAATAGGAAAATATTCTTGGCAAAGATTAAGTGAGAAAAAGAATAGAAATAGAAACAAGGAAAACGTCTTCAGAAGAGTAGACTGTCAGGTCTGAAATTTGAGTTTTATCTTTCATTTTAATAAGTTTGTCTCTTTCATTTGGCAAAAGGCATGAGATGCCTGGGTCAGAGAAAAAAAAAATTATTACTCATAGCACAGCAAGGAACATGATCATCAATATGTTTGTGCCAATTCACGTAAGAACAACAGACAGAGCTAGGGTGGATAGGTGCACCAAGAGTAGGCTGCGTTACAGGAGAGGAACACTGAGCTTGGGGAAAACCACTGGTTTACAGCAAGCAGTAAGCTAACAGGTTCTTTGTGCCACAGGCAAAGACATTACCTCATCCTTTAAGATTGCTTACTCCAAACACACCTGTAAGAAATGTGATTTCCAACTTCAAGTATGACGGCCCTCTTCTTTTGTCATTTTTGAAGAATCTTTTTGAAAACTTTTTTCAAAAAAAATAATTTCAAATTTACAAAGAGTAACAAAAACAAGCATAATACAGGAAACACTTAGATTTGACTATGACGTTCTATGTCCATTTACTTCATCATCTGCACTTACACTCTTTTCTCCTTTCTTTTCTCTTTTCCTCTTTCTATATAACCATTTTTCCTGAATAATTTGAGGATAACGTATATACATCATAGCACTTTAATCCTAAAGTCTGCAGTATTTCCTAGGACTAAGGGAATGATCTGACATTAATATCAGCGCAGTTATCATCCTCAAAATTTTATATTTATATAATACTTTTGCCTAATGTCCTATCATATTTTAATTTTGCCAGTTATCTAGTTATGAAATTTATAGCATTTTCCCCCAGGGTCTAATCTAAGTACAGGTATTAAATTTATTCATCATGTCTCCTTAGTATCTTTTAACCTGGAACTTTTCTAAACAGTCTTTGTCTTTTATGTTTTAAATAACTGCTTCCCTATTTTTTCATAAATCATTTTCTATTTAAAATGTTATGCTCCCTGTGACTAGAGACTGCTTTACTTTTTCCTTTTTAAACTATATTCCCTTTATTTCTTTTACTTGCCCTACTATATTGGCTAAGACCTCTACTACAGTACTGCATTTCATTGACTTACTTCTGCTTTTATCTTTGTTATTTCTACCTTCTACTCACTTTGGATTTAATTTGTTCTTCTTTTGCTACCTTAAGGTAAAAACTTATTTCCAACTTGAAGCCATTTTCCTTTTCTACTATAAGCATGTAATACTACAGTTTCCCTCTAACTCCTGTTTTGTTTTGTTTTGTCTACTATAAGCATTTAATGTTACAGATTTCTCTCCAACCCCTGCATTAGCTGTATCCTGTCAATTTTGGTATATTTCTTTTCAATCAATGCAAAATGTTTTCTAATTTCTCTTGGGAATTCTTCTCTGATCTCTGAGTAATTTAGAAGTGTGCTATTTAATATCTAAATATTTGGGGGATATTCTAGATATTTTTCTGTTGTCGATTTGTAGTTTAACTCTACTATGGTTAGAAAACATTCTTTGTATAATTCTTAAAAAAATTTTTAGGATTGATTTTCTAATCCAGAATACGGTCTATCCTGTAACTATCCAATGTGCACTTAAGAAGACTATATTTTCTAACTGTTGTGTTTCCAATTTATGAAGTGTTCCACAAATATCAAAAGGGTCAAGTTGTTTTGACAATGTTGTTCAAATTTTCAATTTTTTACTAACTTTCTGTGTCTATTTGTTTTATTGATTCCTGAATGTTGACATCTCCAACTCTAATTGTGAATCTGTCTATTTCTCTCTTCAGTTCTAATAGTGTTTGCCTCATATATTTAGAAGCTCTAATTGTTAGCTGCATACAGGTACTTTCTGTTACGTGTATGCTATGTCTTCTTGGTGAGGTAACCTCTGTATCATTATGCAATGTCCTTCCTCATCACTGGTAGTATTCCATGTTCTGAGGTCTACTTCACTTCATGTCAATATAACTACTCCAGCTATTTTTGATGAGTGTTTGTATTGTTTATCTTTTCCCATCTTTTTTATTGCTATCTTCTTAGGTATTTTAAAAATGACTTTCTTATAAACAGCATATAATTGTGTCTTGCTTTTTTACTAAACTGATCTTTCTTTCAGGTTGAGGGTTTATAGACGTTTCAATCTTTACGTTGACATTTCATTAACTCCATGTGATGTTTGATGTGGCTGAATTTAAATCCACATTGTCAGTTCTCTATTTTTCCATCTGCTTTTTTACTTTTCTGCTTTTTGCATAATTTTTATTATTCTATTTATCTGTACTATGGGCTTCTTATTTATACTTTTTAAGTTTTTCAGTAATTGCCCTAGGATTCACAAGATATATCTTTAGTCACAGGATACCTTCAAATAGTATTACACCACTACATATGTAGTATAAGAACCTCATAACAGCATTATCCCAATTTCTCCCTCCCTTCCTTTGTGCTATTGTTTTATTTTTATAAGTGTTATAAATTTATAGTACATAGTTGCTATTGTTGATTTAGTAATCCTAATCATCTTTCAAAGAAATCAAAAATAAGAACAAAATTTATTTTACATTTACCTTCATTTGTTCCATTTTCAATGCTTCCCAAATATTTGAATAGCTCTAAGTTTGTGTCTGGCATTGTACTAGCTCTAAGTTTCTGTCTGGCATTGTACTAGCTCTAAGTTTGTGTCTGGCATTGTACTGCTTCAGCATAATAAAATTCCTTTACATTTCTTACAGTGCAAGTAAGCTGCTATGAGCTCTCTCAGTTTTTGTCTCAAAGTTTTTATTTTTAAAAGATATTTTTGTTCCATTGAACTCTTGGCATTCTAAATATATCATTCCATGTGTTCTGGTTTGCATAACTTCTAGTAAGGAGTCTGCTATAGTTCTTAAGATTTCTTAGCATCTACTCTGTCTTTTTCATGTGGCTACCTTGAACATTTTGCATTTATCTTTGTTCTTCAGCAACATTTTCCATTTATCTTTGAACTTTAATGTGTCTCAGTGGGTATGTTTTTGTTTGTTGGAGGATAAGGTATTTATCCTTCCTAGTGTCTCTGAGATTCCTGAAGCTGTGGTTTGATGTCTTTTAATTATTTTTGGAAAATAGTTGGCCATTACCCTACAAATACTTTTGTCTCAAGGCTCCACCCCTCACTCACTCCCGTCCCCATCATACCTTTCCATCTCTCTTCTCCTTTTGGGATTCCACTTTCACATAGTACATCACTTGAAATT